TGACGCCTCCCGCTCCCGAGCGTCCTCTGCGTCTTCCGTTGACACAGCCACGCCGTCCTCCGCGGGACCCCGGCTGGCCTCGGTGTGCCGCCGGCCGACCCCCAGTGACACAGCCTGTCCGTCCTCCAGTGGCACGCCGTCCTCCGCGTGCCGCCAGTCGTCGGCCTCCATCCGCTCCCCGCGGCGAGGCACAGACGTCGGAGACACCGCACTCCGCTGACCAGCCCCCGGCTGGCCGCTCTGATCCACGTGCAGCTCAGCCTGAGACTGCTGCGGCGCCCGAGCTGTCGTCAGCCGCTCTGCGTGGATCCGGGAGCCGTCATCTAGCCTGTAGCTGACTGGTCCCAGGCGAGACTCCACCCGTCTCGGCTCGGAGTACCGTGGCCGTCCCTTCTTGGGACGCGGCACCAGCCGGCACCGGACCCAGTCGCCGACCTGGAACCGTGGTGTCTCAGCTGCACGCCGCTCGTCAGCGTACCTCTTCTGCTTCTTCTGCCTCTTCTGCACTCTGTCTCGCAGCTCACGATCTTGCGGTTCTTCCGTGGGAAGAGCCGCCGCGTGCAGACGTGTCCTCAGCTTCCGTCCGTGCAGAAGCTCGGCTGGACTCAGCCCCGTCGTGGCGTGAGGCGTGCTCCTGTACGTCTGCAGAAACTTCTGCAGATAACACGCTCGATCTTCGCCGCTCCGGTCCGCCGCCTGGAGAGCACTTTTCACTGTGCGATTCGCACGCTCCACCGCACCTGACCCGGCAGGGTGGTACGGCGTGACCCGGATGTGGCGCGTGCCGACACTCCTCAGGTAGTCTGCGAACGCTGCTGAGGTGAAGTGTGTCCCGTTGTCGGACACCAGCTCCTTCGGGTAACCTTCTCGAGATGCTAGCGTCTCCAGAAACTGCACCACCGCCTCCGTGCTGGGTTCTGTGCAGAAGCCGACTTCTATCCATTTGGAAAAGTAGTCTACCAGCACTACTGCGTATCGGTGCTGGCGGCGCGCTTCCATTGGACCGATAAAATCCACGCCCACCTTCTCCCATGCCGCTCCTGGCAGCGGCACCGGGTGTAGCGGCGCACTGCGGGTCCGAGCCGACTTGTCCACGTCAGCACACACGTCGCAGTTTCTCACCGCCTCTTCTATGTCCGTGTCCATCTTGGGCCACCAGTAGATGTCACGAGCCCGCTGCTTAGTTCGGACGATCCCTTGATGTCCTTCGTGGGCTAGGGACACCATCCTCGTCCGCAGCGCCGCCGGCACGATCACCCGCTGACCGCGGACGACCAGGTCTCCCACTAGGCTGAGCTCCTCTCGGCAGTTGTAGAAGGGCTGCAGCTCTGCCGGGCAGTCGCGGCCACCGCCGTGGGATCTGCTGCACCAGCTGGCACAGCACTGGGTCAGTCTGTGTCGCTTCCAGCAGCTCGTCCCGCTGCACTGCTCCGAGCTGGGCAGTCACCGCCGCCCTCACGGCGTACGGTAGAGGTCTCAGCCGCTGCTGTACTGGGTTGACCTCCGTCTTCAGTTTCACGCTGTGCCCAGTGAGACTCGGCAGCTCCTCTGGCATCTGCTCCTGGATAGCACACACAGTCGCCCCGTGAATCACGGACAACTTCAGCTTCTCCTGCAGATCTCTGCCCAGCAGGGGCACGCCAGCGTCTACCACGTACAGTGAAACTTGGGAGCTGTTGCCGTTCTCTGCCTGCACTGTCACCTGCACCACCCCCTGCACTAGCAGCGATGACCCTCCGTAGGCCTCCAGGCGCACTGCAGTGGGCAGGAGGGGCAGATGGCGGAACTGCTTCCTGTAGACGGACAACGGCAGGATGCTCACGGCCGAGCCAGTGTCAGCCAGCATCCGCAGTGGCTGCTGGTCCACCCGCAGCTCGGTCCACAGGTTCTTCCGGTCGTCATCCGTCACGGCCAGCACTTCAACGGTCCTTACTGGCTTCCTCTTGGTCTGCTTCGTCTTCTTAGGTGGTTCCTTGCAGAATCTGGCGTAGTGGCCCTTCTGCTGGCAGTTGTGACACCTTCTCCAACGAGCTGGACAGCAGGGATCAGCAGCCCGGTGGGGACCGCCACAGCTGGAGCACGGCGAGACCCCCTTCCTGGGAGCAGTCACTGCGGCTATCTCCAGCTGAGCCGGGGAAGAGGTTGGTGCCCGCGTAGCTCCACCTCCACCCACCAGCCGCTGTCGCTCAGCAGCCACCTCCAGCTCCTCAGCCACCTCGAGGATGCGCGACACAGTCAGAGCTGGCTCCCGACACAGCCGCTCTCTCAACCTGTCGTCCACGCAGCCCTCGATAAACTGCTCACAGATCAGCTGCTCCTGGAGTTCGCCGAAGGCGCATCTGGAACTCAGGTCCTGCAGCTCAGTGAGGTACACGGCTGGAGACCTGTCCAGCTGGTAACACCGCCGGAACAGCATTCTCTCGGAATGAGTCGCTCGTGTCTCCGGAAACAGCCGCTGAAACACTGCAGAGATCGCAGCCACCGGGTCGACTGCTGCAGTCGGTTGTCCTTCCTCCTTGACGCCATCTTCCTCCTGCGCCGGAATCGCCGCCTCCTGCACTCCCGGTGCCACGCCCTGCGCCGGTTTCGCCGCCGCGAAATAGAGACGCCGCGCCTCCTGTCCCACACAGTGTAATAGGAGGGCCTCTCGTCGCTGAACAGTCCACTCGTCCCAACCACTCGCCACGGCGAAAATCCGGAACTCGCCCAGCCACTGGGACCAGGGCGTGGTCGGCCGTCCTGGCGCCACTAGAAATGGCGCTGGCGCACGCAAACAGTCCATCGCGGCGATCACTGTTATCACTTAGCGCAGAAGGATCTCAGTTCCTCGTCGCCACTGTAGTGTATTGCACCACCCACGCGATATATACAGTCCGATTTAAAGGAAGAACTCAAAACGCGCACGGCACAGACCGTCACCATCCGTGACCACCGTCGCCAACCGACTGACCCGCCGGCCGGCCTACGGACACGTCACTCGCCCTCAGCGCCACCCCCACAACCTGCAGTTAACAGAACTGCCGCTAGGTGACACTGGCACACTCGTACGGTACGGAACGAAAGAGGGACACCAGTCCGTAACAGAACACCACAGAAGTTTTTGAAGGCCCACGCCGAGTGAAGGGTTCGACAAATGACGAGATCTCGAAACATTAAAGAGCTTCGCGAGAAGAGCTGTCAGGCCTACAGCTTTGAAAATACAGAAAAATGGTCAAGACATAAAGGGTGTAGAATTGACAGGGCTACAAAACTGCTATCTCGAATTTTTTAGATTTTTGAATTTGGACCCCGAAAAAATCCAAAAAAAGTTTTTTAGATATATAAGCCAAAAACTCCAAAAGTTTTTTGGAGTTTCGAAAAAAACGGAATATATATATGTAGTACCTACTGTCTTCTATATACATACCAATTTTCAAATCGATATCTCTTTTGTTTGGCCAAGTTTTAGCGAAAAAAAAAACTGTTCAGAAATGATGACGTCAAATTTTTAAACTCAATTTTTGGCAATTCTAGACCTCGTAGGGCAAAACAAAGACCACCATTAGACTCCTAATGACGAGCTGCTTCAAATCGATACCCATTTTATGCAAAATATCAACTTTGAAATTTGACCTAATTTGACCTGACGTTGACCTGACCTTCACCAGAATGTAACCTAAGCTGGCCCCAAAGGCTGCCTGACCCACATAATCGCATTTGTCATGTAAAATGGACCATAAAACATGCATCGCACGACACTTTCATATTGTGACCCACAGTGACCTGACCCTTGTGACCTGACCTGGTATCGGTGACCTCAGATAGCAAAGTAGTGTTTGACGAACAATGTAGCATCGTAATGTACCATCGTTGGTTTTCAATAAGTTACCAATTTACTCGATTTCACAACACATTTCTTGAAATGCATGTGGACGGTGAAAATCCGACCTTTGACCTGACCTGTGACGTCATATGTTTGACCTGGGTCAATGAAATTTGGTCACAAAGTCTGATAGTCCCGGTGGAGCTATCGAACGCCGTTTGAATTTTGAAAATCGGCCGGTACTTCCCGGGACTTAGGAGGGGCCAAAACGCCCCCCCCCCCCCCCACGGGTGGTAGGGTTCGCCGATAGCCCTACCGGGCGCGGGTTAAGATTCGTTAGATCTGTGCTGACGTCACAAATTCTAAGGGGGTATTCAAATGCATTAGTCACTTGGAATCCGAAAACTGTACATCTCAACTCAACAAAAAAAAAAATCACAACTCAAAATTAATGTTGAGATGGGATGGTCACTAAAAAAAAGTCTCCACACCCCTGTATCTTTTTTTTAGAGGTTTCCACAATTTGGCAAAGGCAGAGTTTATATACCTATGTTCTATGTAGTTAACGGTGTGCCAAACAGTAGGTTATCTTGCCAGATCGGGACTCTTTTCCAGTCAAGGTGGCAGAAAAGTGTTTGCTTATTGCGAGCTGGTGTCATGTTTTTTAACCGCACGCTGTTTGAAATTTAAAAAAAAAACTTTCGTTAGAATTATGCTTTTATTTGGAAAAACAGCCGGAGCAGTGCTCGCTGGGTGTTGTTAAGCATTCCGTGTGTTTGAATACACCAGCTCACAGCACACCTAGTGTTTCGGCTAATGTGTTTGAAAAGCTCAGCGCTGCGGTGGTCTCGTCCTCGATTGACTCACGTCCTTCCTGTTTCTGTACAGATGACTGCAGAATGGTGTTTCATTCTTAACTGGCAATCAGTTGCCTAGGATGGTAGGCTTTGCCGCATCACACGGGCTGAGTGACACATTTTAATGCCGTGGCACAACACTCACTATAGACAAGCTTAATTGCGTGCTAACGTCTAATTTAACGTTCCAGTCAACTGATAGATTCTGAGGAGTGGAACATCATTCTCGCTGATCCCCAAGGCCAATATAACATGAAAGCCGACTTGTAGCTGAACTTCTAAATATAGGCTCGTGAAAGTGATTATTTTAAGTCGTACTGACATCCACTGTTTCTTCTCAGACCCGGGACCAAGAGGAGAGGAAGAGAAAGCGAGAGGCAGAAATTGAGGAAGAGGAAAACAAAAAAGCCCAGAAGGAATGGAACAAAAACTTCGAGGTAAATAACGGTCTTATAGTTCCTTTTCTTGCTCCGCTATGCGTTAACTTTCACGGTTACATTTAAAGGAGTTGGTTTGTCATATGCGTTTGTTTTGGTTTGTCACGGTTTCTCATTGTAACGAATGCTTGCTGAATTGCCTTTACGTAATGTGTTTTAGTGCTACAAAACAGTTACAGTATTAGCAGGTTTCTGAAACAGTGAGGAAGACTAATAGCTGAGACTTTTGAAAATCACGGCTGCTTGGCTACCACAGCCGTGCGCCGTAAAAATCACAGGACCAATCGCATAACCCGCCCCATGCTGGTGTTCTGAGTTTTCCGTGTCGTGCTGGGGGAGGGGGGGGGGGCGTTTTCACGCCCCCCGTCAACTCGCCTCCTGGGCCACGTAGCGATAGGTGGTAAGCGTCGATCGAAAGAGCGTAAAAATAATGACGGTAACACTTCGGTCATTTTTTAGGTCAGGTCAAAGGTCAGGTCGCCAGAGGCCATTAAAGGTCAAATTTAAACCAATTCCACAATTTTGGAAACTGCCAACGGCTTACTCGGGGACCAATAGAGGTACAGCGCCGCGGAAAAGCGCATTCGATAGACCTTTTGCAGACCTTTCTGAGCATTGTTCTTAGATTTGACCTCACTCAGGCCAACAATTTAATATAATTCATGTGAAGAAGTAAGATTGGTTTCTCTTTGAAAATGAAACGCTGGCTTAACCCTTGCCGGCACAGGGGGGCAGTTGATGTGTAGGGTGCCTAACGCAGCTATATACATGTAAATACTTACTTTTTCATCTTATTAGAAGTGTTTTGTGTTTATTGTGGCGCATGATTTTTCACGAGAATTTATAAAGGTGTTTATTTTTGTTCAATGACAGAATCGAACAAACTTTTATACAAGGAACATCTTTTTATTTTATTCTGATTTGGCTGATTTACAATATAGTTTGGTTTATCTAATATATCGTATATATTTCTAACGTTTGAGTTATTCATACTCTTTCGGCCATGTCTACAGATGCACCCCCCCCCCCCAAGGTTTTTCGCAAATAACTCGCGTAAAAAGCGGCCGATCGCCACGAAGCTTCCAGTGGGGAAGACCCGGGAGGTATGGGTCGGTTTTGTGAAATGGTAATTTGGTAATTTTCTTCCAGTAGGCAGTGGCTAGATCTGGTTTTTCACTCTGTGTACGTACTACGTGATATCGCCTTTTGCGTGTAAAGTGTGCCTGATATTGGGCACCTGGGATCAACTATTTTGTCTCGAGATAACTTTAAATAAATCATGCGCTTTTTCGATCCATCAAAATACACCGGGAGGTATGGGCCATGTCGACACTTTTTTTTACCCCACATTTGTTCTCCGGTGAATTTCAGACAAGTTGGTTAGAGACCTTCAAAAAAGGTACAATCACTCGATTTTTCTCAACTTTGTCTGTCTTGGCAGATAAAGTAATACCAGAACAGGCCTACGAACACACATATTCGATCAGGATCGGACGATTGGACACTTTTAAAAGGAGATCTTTCGTGCCTCCCGGAAATTCACGGGAGAGCAGATGTGGGGTTTAAAAAAAGGTGTCGATGTGATTGTCTCGGAAATCGTTACCTACTCGAAGAAAAAAAAAGTCCTTGCCACAGTTGGCTTTCCCGCGCATCACAACCCCTTAGACAAGTTTTAAATGAAAACTTAAATATGTGGGTGTCAATTTTTTTTAACGATCTATCGTGGAATGCCCCTGCTTGAAACCATACCTATTTGGGGACTGAAGCGCTTCATTAACCAGCGTGTGGCGGCTGTGGCGCACATCCCCGCTGTCGACTGGACTACCTTCCTCGTCAGTCTTCCAGTGACGAAGGCATTCCACCAAGGCATCCCTGCACCGCCCTGCGGCCGGTGCTGCAGAGCTCCAGTCCGTCCGGTAGTCTGTCGGCGGCAGGTTGGTAGTCTGTCGGCGACTGCTGAGGGGTCTCCAGTGTGCACGCGAGAGAGGAGATCAGCGGCGAAGTTGGACTTCCCTGGAACGTAGATGATTTCAAAGTCATAGTCGGCCAGTTTCTCAACAGTGCGAGCTAGTCGATGGTTGACCAGGCGCATGTTGTTTAAGTACTAGAGATGTCAATCGGATACCAAATTTTAGGTGTAGGTACCGATACCAATCCGATACCAACTTGGTATTTGGTATTTCAAGTCAGATGCATTTGATATTTTGTTGGTATTATGAATGTTCTCTAGTGTAAAAGAGGCTGAGGATTTGGGTAAAAAGTTGGTATTTCCATCCTTTTCCCAAGTCGGCTCGGTTTCGGCATTTTTCCATGGGTATTGTAGGTATTTGGTTTGGTAACGGTACCACGATTTTCCGTAATTGACATCACTGGTAAGTACAGCAGCGCGTTGCTTGAGGCTAGACGCCGAAGTCTAAGCAGGAAAAACTCCAGACTGCGGGGTGACCAGGGGTGCTGCCTGCTGGGTTCTTGTTCGGTTGCTGGCGCTGGGAGGTGAAGAGAGTCTAGCAATTTTTCAGAAATCTGTCCAATATTCACGCTCGCAATGCATTAAGAAACATGTCATTTTTAAGGCATTTTTAAACTCCAAAGGACAATCCTCCACAAGATGATGAAATGGAAACCATTTCGTTCGATCCTAACGACCAACCTCTACGCTGACAGCATGGTATCGAGGCTGGAAGGAAGCGTGCGCCTTCTGGCTCAGTGTAGCGGAACAATGGTTCGAACGGGTGATATTGAGTGACGAAAACGAACGGGTGATATTGAGTGACGAACAGTGGCTCGCGCTACAGCAAGCACCCGCAGGAAGAATACAGTCTCCTTCGCCGAAGAATTCACAGAAGTTGATTCCATACAAGAACGTGCACGGAGCGAACATCATGGCCGAGTCCTGCCGCGCGGAGAAGCACGTTTTCTTCGAGCGACGACAACTGAAGTGTCACAACTGATTTCTATTTGTGTGATGTAAAATGTCTAAGATTTATCATTCCAACGGTGAGCTGTTTATGTATTTAACCCGCGCCCCACTGGGGGGGGGGGGGGTATTCATAGCCCCCCTCCCATTTGTTCTGCAATAACTTCCAAACCGCGTGACTTATCGACGCCAAACTTTCCGTACCTTTGGCTGCATCAATTTCACACCTTGTGTCAAAATATGAACTTCGTAGCTACCATAGGTCGGCCGGAAATGACGTCAGAGTGACGTCATGTTCGGCCGATTTCGACGCAAAACATTGAACCACGGCAATCGCTCCCAAGAGCTCAGTTTTTAAGAGTTAGATCCATTTTCTTTGCATGAGAGGACTCAGAATAGACTGCGCTATCAAACTGCTATCTCGGATTTTCAAAATTTGAAAATTTTGAAAATTATTTATTATAAAATTCAAAATTTATGTTTTTACAGAAAAAATTGACTTCGAAAAACCGGAATATATGTGATAGAACACATGCTCATGATAAAGTGTTAGCTAAATATCTTAAAAAATGGCCAAATTTACGCATTATTGCAAAAAATTCACAATTTTAATTTTTTAAATCAAATTTTCAGTAGGTATTTTACATCGTACACCAATATAAATAGCACCATCGTGTTCCTGAGCTCAAACTGCATCCATTAGACACCTTTTTTGTAAAAAAAAATATAAGTTCAAAATTTGACCTTTTTTACCTGAAAGTGACCTGACCTAAGCTAAATTCAACTCAAAATGACCTCAAATGACACAAACGACATCAAATTCGAAATATATGGCCTAAATGGACCATAAATAATGTGTCACGTGACCGACGCATGATCTAATATTTCCGTGACCTCTGATGACCTGACCCTGACCTGAACATCAAAGTACAAGTTTGGTACCCTCAGGGTATCTAAAGCATTTGTTCACGAGTGTGTAAACCAAAAATGAGCCTGATCTGACTTGTAAGACGGCGGCCAGAGCCCAAAGTAAGAACAAGTCAAAATGCTAATAATTTTTACTTTGACCTGACCTGTGACGTCATCGGTGACCTCGAGGTCAATGAAATTAGGTGTCGCTCGACAGTTTTTCCTGGGCTATCAGACGCCGTTTGAATTTTGACGATCGGCCCAGTAGTTTCGGAGTTAGGAGGGGGCTCTGGAGGGGGGCTATGAAGAGCCCCCCCCCCCTCAGTAGAGCGTGTTATACGCAGACCCCAGTGGGGCGCGGGTTAACCCACGAGCCGCTGGGGGGCATAAAGTTGTCCCCCCTTTATGTTTTGTGAAATATCTCCGAAACCTGATGAGCTACGAACGTGAAACTTGGCATAGCTTCAAATAAATACCTAAGCAATATTTGAGGAAAGTTTGGTGGCTTGATGACGTCACAGTGACGTCATGAAGTTTTGTCGTTTTCCGATATGGACCGTTTCTGATGACGCTGAGCATGAAACTCAACTGTAAATGAACTAGACAGCACCTGCTGTCATCCTAAAACATCTAACTACACTTCCATCTAGTTTCTGACCATAATCGACCCTTTATATTCGGTCCCATATATCTGATGTATCGTGAGAAATATGACAGGCGCAAATCTATAATTTCACTTATGACGTCACTGTGACGTCATTTCAAATGGGATCGACACCAAATTTGGACACAACCTCGGCTAGGTATTCAGGGAGATGTGTGCAAAGTTTCGCTTCTCTATCTCTTCGCGTAGCGACGATATCGTCGCAGAAGTAAAGGGGGGCAACTATATGCCCCCCCCCCTCCCCAGCGGTCGGCGGGTGGTGCGGAGGCCCAGCGGCCGCCGGGTTAAATATATGTCTTGCGCCTCTGGCTTTATGCCATCTTAATTATCACCCTGTAATTAAGAGGATAGCTTGTGGATGTTTAAATGCGGATCACCCTGTATTTCAGTCTGAGCGGTAGTTAACTTTCCAGGCGGTGGGGACTGGGGGGGGGCATTTTTTGCCCCCTTCCTTAGTTTTTTTTTCCATATATCTCGAGATCAGCTGCGCCGATCGTCACCAAACTTTCAGTACCTTCCTATGAATAGCTATTGCACATTGTGATTAGCATTTTTCCAAAGGCTATGATAGGTTGGCCGCTAATGACGTCAGAGTGACGTCATTTCTGCCATTTTCGACCCAAAAAAAGGTTTCGCGGGAAGAGCTGTCAGGCCTACAGCTTTGGAGATACAGAAACATGTTTCAGACTTAAAAGGTGCAGATTTAACAGGGCCACACAACTGCTACCTCTGATTTTTGAATTTTTTGGATTTTGGTCCCCCAAAATATTTAGATAGATTTTGAATATACATAATAGCCAAAAAATTCAAAAAGTTTTTTTTTTGAATATCAAAAAGCCGGAATATTTGTGATAGTCCTACTGCCTTCTATCCACATACCAAATTTGAGATCGATACCTCTTTTTTGGCCAAATTATAGCGAACAAAAACTTCAAAATTGATGATGTCAAATTTTCAAACTCAATTTTTAGCAATTCTAGATCTCGTAGCGCAAAACAAAGACCACCAATAGACTCCCCGTGACGAGCTGCATCGAATCAATGCCCATTTTATGCAAAACTATCAACTTTGAAATTTGACCTTTTTTGACCTGACCTCGACCTGACCTCCACCATCAAGTGACCTAAGCCGTACCCGATGGTCTTAAAACCAACACCATTGAGTTGGAAATGAAAAATTGGCCATAAAACATGCATCGCACAACCTTAGTAAATTTGGGTTCATGTGCTGACCCTTTGTGACCTGACCTGTAACCTGACCCGGTATTGTCAGTGACCTGTAATAGCAACATATGTACTAGGCAACTGACGCCCTATCGCTGATTTTCGATAAAATGCGTTTTCGTCGGTGTTTTAGCGCATTCCCTAGAAGAACCGTGAACGGTGAAACATTTTGTTTGACCTGACCTGTGACGTCATCGGTGACCCCGAGGTCAATGAAATTTGGTTTCCATCGACAAATTTGACAGGGCTATCGAACGCCTTTGATTTTTATCTGTCCAGTAGTTTTGGAGATACGGGGGGACACCCCCCCCCCCCCCACCGCGCGGAAGGTGGCCGGGAGGCCCACCGCCTGCCGGGTTAATGAAAAGAACTCCGATATCTATGGAACGTCATTTACGACGTTGCACATTGTTCAAAACGGAAAAGTTGAGCACCGATCTTGCAAGGAGTGAAGCGACACGACTCCATGTGCAAAAGATAGTCTGAGCTCATTTTTATCATCAAAACGAATTTTAATGTTTCTGTTTTTGACTTAGTACTTGTGAGGTCACGTCATTGAGCTGTCCATATGTGAACTGTGTGGAAAATTACGGACATAAAAGTTGCAAGGTCTCGGAAGTTAAGGAAGCCCTGTGAATTTCATTTTCCGCTTCCCCTTCGAGCTGCCAGCAAACAGAGACAGTCAGCTATGCTATGCGTAACCAATCTCAGTGCAAACCTCACAACCAAGTCCTCCCCGTGGCCTAGTGGATAAGGCGTCCGTCGCCTAACTCGGTGGCAGCGAGTTCGCGGCCGGGAAGCTCCACGTCGTTTGACCCGCGTTCCTATATTAAGCCAGCTGGCAACTGGCGAGAGAGGGCCACGCTAGACCCGGGAGGACCGTGCCGCCATCTACCTGCGGCACGTTTGACTTTCGATCCAAATTATCACCGGTGAACCGGGCACGGGCAAGGTGGGGTGGTGGGTCCGTGGTGTCATTCGCAACAAGCACTGCTTAGCGGGCACCCGGGCCCATAGCCACCCATTCATCCATTCGGACAAAATTTCTATAAAAAAGTCTGTCCAGGAAAACACTGTAGCTGTACAAAAAGGGGCTATTGTTATATTCAACCCAAATTGCGTGTGTAACCAACTTGCGTGTGTAACCAACTGTCACCATATCTCGACCAGAATCACGTACTGTGCGAGAACCAGCATGGTTTTCGGATAGGACACTCGACGGAAACTGCATTGATCGACTCTATTAGTACTATTTTAGCTAACACAGAGGCTGGCCATGTAACTACTTTGCTAGCAGCTGATACATCTCGCGCCTTCGATAGTGTAGAACATGAGCGACTTTTAGTTAAATTGGGATGGTATGGTGTCAGTAGTCACTGGTTCGACGATTGGCTGCGCAACAGAACTCAGAAAATTCAGGGTGGCGGTGGAGGAGTGTTGCCGGTGACACATGGCGGAATTCAAGGGTCCCTTTTGGGCCCGAGGCTATTTTTGATTTTTACTAACGACCTGAGCACTCATTTGACTCACGGAAAACAAGTTACGTATGCTGATGACGTGCAATTTTTAGACTGTGATTCGGCCGAAAACCTGGCTTCTCTCAAACTGCGCGTTGAAAATACCCTAAAGGTGGCGCTGCAGTGGTTTACCCAAAACAGACTCAAAATTAATCCAAGCAAAACCGAACTTTTGATCATTAAGCCACCCAAGAAAAAGTGTGAATCTGACATGAAAATCACATTTGGAGACTGTGAAATTGAGCCCTCTTCATCTGCTAAAATTCTCGGATTTAATATCGATTCTGCATTAACTTGGGAGAAACATGTGTCGCAGGTAACGCGCCGCTGCTACTATGTTCTCGTCGGTCTGTCCAAGTTGAGACACAAGATTTCGCTTGAAACTAAGAAGCTGCTGGTTGAGGCGTTAGTTTTCCCGCACATTATTTACTGCTGTACTGTGTGGGGAGGCTGTACTGCCTCCCAAAAGCACCGCATTCAGAAAGCGATCAACTTCGCTGTACGTGTCGTCACTGGACTGGGCCGACGGGAGCATGTGACCCCAGCCCTGCGAGCTCTGGGATGGGCGCGCTTCGAGGGCATGTTGGCGAAGCGAGACGTGGCCCTCATCGATAGGCTGATCTCATCTGACGTGCCGCCGGCTCTAGCTCACATTGTGCAGCGCCGCTCGGACGTAACAGACCGGCGCACTCGGAGCGCATGTGGAGGCCAGCTCGAAGTCCCTCGTATCTCCACTGAGCGCGCCAGGCGCAGCTTCCCCCATAGAAGTGTGTGCACATGGAATCGAGAGATGGCCTCCAAGTGCATCGTCGGACATAGCTGAACCTGACTGTCAATACTTTTAACAATCTTAACCGTATTCACGTTTTTAACATTTATATTTTCATTGTGTTGTTCTTACCGATAGTGTATTTTACTGTGTTTGTATTATGTATGACGAGAGGCCTGAAAAGCCATTTACTGGAGACTTCAATAAACTGATGATGATGATGGTGAAATTAACACGACACAAACATACTAGCAAGTATACATGTCTCAACCGAGACTGCCCTGCCAACGGGCCGCCACATCTCCCCCCGCGCGGCGCAATGTGGTGTCCCCACCCATTCACGCATCTCATTTTCATAGGCGATGGCGCCCCCTTGCAAGATGGCGCTCCTATGACGCCGCTGGCTCGTGAGGGCGCCTTTCGGGCCTAGGGGCGCCCACCAAGGTTGGTGGGGGGGGGGCAAACGGGATGTTGGGGTGGCAGAATTTCAAGTTGGGGGGCACCTAACAAAGTAAACAAAGCTACGCCCCTGCCCAGGAGCCGAGTTAGAAGGGGGCTTTCAACCCCCCCCCCTTCCAGCAGACCGTAGAAACCTACAACCCCCCCCCCCCCCAGCGGAGCGTGGGTCAATTGTTAGTTCAATGCATCTTATTTTGCATGAGGATAGTCGAAATAGGGAGCTTAGCAGCTGACAGCGAGAAATGAAAATGGGAAGAGGGTCTTGTAAAAAGTCGCAGCTATTCCATTGAGCATTAAATGAAGCAAACAATCCGACATATCCCACCTCGTCAGGCGATACACGTGCCGTTCCCCACCGGGGAGGTATCCCCGTCACCTGTTCGTACCTATATCAATCGTGAGTGGCTGCAACTCACCTGGTAAAGTCAACATTTTTTTACAGCTTTCCTTAAAAAAATGTGCGAATGCGGCAACGTTGCGTACAGTGGCGCAGCCAGGGGGGGTCGGAGTGTCAGCTGAAATTTCTGTCAGGGGCCCGCTCGAGAGAGAGAGAGAGAGAGAGAGAGAGAGAGAGAGAGAGAGAGAGAGAGAGAGAGAGAGAGAGAGAGAGAGAGAGAGAGAGAGAGAGAGAGAGAGAGAGAGAGAGAGAGAGAGAGAGAGAGAGAGAGAGAGAGAGAGAGAGAGAGAGAGAGAGAGAGAGAGAGAGAGAGAGAGAGAGAGAGAGAGAGAGAGAGAGAGAGAGAGAGAGAGAGAGAGAGAGAGAGAGAGAGAGAGAGAGAGAGAGAGAGAGAGAGAGAGAGAGAGAGAGAGAGAGAGAGAGAGAGAGAGAGAGAGAGAGAGAGAGAGAGAGAGAGAGAGAGAGAGAGAGAGAGAGAGAGAGAGAGAGAGAGAGAGAGAGAGAGAGAGAGAGAGAGAGAGAGAGAGAGAGAGAGAGAGAGAGAGAGAGAGAGAGAGAGAGAGAGAGAGAGAGAGAGAGAGAGAGAGAGAGAGAGAGAGAGAGAGAGAGAGAGAGAGAGAGAGAGAGAGAGAGAGAGAGAGAGAGAGAGAGAGAGAGAGAGAGAGAGAGAGAGAGAGAGAGAGAGAGAGAGAGAGAGAGAGAGAGAGAGAGAGAGAGAGAGAGAGAGAGAGAGAGAGAGAGAGAGAGAGAGAGAGAGAGAGAGAGAGAGAGAGAGAGAGAGAGAGAGAGAGAGAGAGAGAGAGAGAGAGAGAGAGAGAGAGAGAGAGAGAGAGAGAGAGAGAGAGAGAGAGAGAGAGAGAGAGAGAGAGAGAGAGAGAGAGAGAGAGAGAGAGAGAGAGAGAGAGAGAGAGAGAGAGAGAGAGAGAGAGAGAGAGAGAGAGAGAGAGAGAGAGAGAGAGAGAGAGAGAGAGAGAGAGAGAGAGGAGAGAGAGAGAGAGAGAGAGAGAGAGAGAGAGAGAGAGAGAGAGAGAGAGAGAGAGAGAGAGAGAGAGAGAGAGAGAGAGAGAGAGAGAGAGAGAGAGAGAGAGAGAGAGAGAGAGAGAGAGAGAGAGAGAGAGAGAGAGAGAGAGAGAGAGAGAGAGAGAGAGAGAGAGAGAGAGAGAAAAGCCTCGCGGAAAAAAGCACGCTTGTGTGCCGTTATAAGACGCAAAAATTAGGTACTACCCGATTTTAAGGTCTTAGGTCAGCCAGTGACCTCTTAGGTCAGGTAAGTGCCACAAGGCACGGGCTCGGTTTTAGGTTAATTACTTTGCCAAAAATGGTCGCACTGCCGCGATTTTGGCATAATCGTGTTTGTCTAGCTCAGGCGCGTTGAATGCTATACTTGGTGTTCGGGTGAAGTCAACTTAACCCTCGCCGGCACAGGCCATTTTGCGTCCTTCGACGGCACAAGGGGGGGGGGGGGGTTGGTACGATCCCCCTCGCGTTTGGCCCCTGATCGAGCTAGAGCCTCGTGGAAAAAACGAGCGTGTTGCCCGTCACGAGAGGAAGCCGATGATACCCAATTTTAAGGTCCTAGGTCATCGGGTGACCTTCCAGGTCAGGTCAATGACCCGAAAACCGGGAAAATCGGGACCTGTTAGAAAGTCGTAAATTGTGGCTGCTATGTGGTTTTCCGGGGTGCTGATCACGAATATCGTATTAGTTTTAATCAGAGATGTCTTTAAGCATTTAGACCAGGTCGGGTCAGGTCAGGTCAACCGGTAGGGGTTGTGACGGGTATTCGTAATACGTGTCAACCGCCTCTGACAGCTTCGTAACATGTTACGAAGGCGCCAAAACTATTTCGTAAATGTTCAAATGGTTGCTAAATTCGAATTCAGCTCCAAAAACTAGCCTAGAAACATGTAAAACTCGAAAAAGTGAACCGAGGTCACCCGAGGTCACCAAACGTCAGTGACCTGACCTGACCTTCAGGTGACCTTGACACCCATCCTAATGTATGGGAGCAACATCAAATCACATGTTTGAACGTTTGAAACCACGAAAAGCTTGCAAACGCGCGGCTAATGCGAGCCGACATACGCCGAATCGCGATTTCGGCCAAACATGGTCACGGAAAAGAGGTCACAGGTCAAAGGTCATTGGGGTCAGGGTCATGAAATTTTCAGGTTAGGTGTAAAATTGATCAATGCGAGGGTACTGAAAGTTTCGTCGCGATCGGCCGCTTTTTACGCGAGTTATTCGCGAAACCATGACCATCACAAAACCATGTTGTGTACGTACTACGCTCATGTGCGTTCAATCATCGAGTATGGCTGTGTCATATGGGCTGGAGCGGCTGCATCTCACCTGACAAGGCTCGAGCGAGTGCAGCACAAGTTTCTGATGTGGTTAGCTCGTTACTCTAACAGGCGCTCTGACGACCTGGACTACTTGGTTTTACTCTCACATTTTAAAGTGCGCTCCATCAAGTCTAGATTCATACAGTACGATATCATGTTTTTATTCCACATTCATCGTGGGAAGCTGGACAATGATGTGTTAGTCGGTGCGTTCGGTCTTGCCGTACCGGCACGGAGGACGAGGAGCACGGTTCTGTGGAACACACCGCGCGCGCGAGTGAACACTGTGCAACGATGTTTGTTTGTCAGGATCCCAGCTGCATGCAACTCATTCTTGCTCCATGACCCGACCACCGACTTCTTTACTGGTAGTTCATACTCATTTAAAACACGCGCTATCGGCTTCACAATTACGCAAGGCACTTTCATGTGATCTTTTACATCATACTCACGTGCTTTACTTTTATCGATCTTGTTTTATCGAACGTTTATTCTTATGTAGGTACTGTCATCTTGTGTATTGCTTGTGTGTAACTGACTTCGTCAGTAAAAGGGCGATGGGCCTGTTGGCGATCTAATAAATACAGAATACAGAATACAGAAAAACCTTAGGGGGGGTTGCATCCCCCTGTGCCGGCGAGGGTTAAGGTGTTAACCTCGGGTCAAGGTCAGGTCGGAGCCCCTCAGGTCACGAAAATGGTTGAAGGAGGTCATATCGCATATCATTCGATTCAGCAGGTCTTCCTGAGTCCAATGGTGGCTTTTCCGACTCTCTAGCTCCATCTGATCAGGAGTTATTGACGAAAAACTTATATGGCCTTAGTGACGTCATAGGTAAATGACGTCACGCAAAGTCAACAATGCTAAAGTCAAGTACTGGACCTTGCAAGGAGTGCATGAAACCATTCCCGGTGCCCGAATAGCAGCTCCCAATTTCCCTTGTTGACTTAAAGTGGTGCTAGATCCTGTATTATACTCAGTTATGACGTCATAACTTAACAGCTTCACGTCATATATTTAGTGCTTGACATCCAAATGATAACTTACATATGACAGAGAAGGTATGCAAAGTTTTATGAAGTTTGCTTCACTAGTTGTGGAATAACAAGCAAAAAACTTTTGCGGAAAGGCCGATGGCCTCTCGCTGGAGCGTTTCCGACCAGTGTGCGGCGTCTGACAGTACCATGCCGGTCTCTAAGGACCCCACAGGACTTTTTCTGCCGGCCTAAGGACCCCTTGCCGGTCACTGAGACCCCCTGCCGGCTTGTAGAGAGTTCGCGTTAGCAGCTCTAAAGGCCCCTCACCCGTCTGTAACGGCTCCACACCAGCGTCTATGAGGGCCCACAGCTTCGCCTGTAAGGACCCTCATCGGCACCTCTGAGAGAATCACACTAGCACCTCTGAGCGCCCACACCGGCACCTGCATGACGGCCCCACACCGGTGCCTCAAAGGCCCCTTACCGGCGGCTCTGAAGTCTGAGGGCCATATACCGGTGACTCTGAGGGTGCTACCGATAACCGAAGGCACCACACAAGCCCTTAGTGTCGCTGGGCTTTCATCCCATACACGCCCTCCGAGGGCGCCACGTCAGTGCACTCATTGCCCCACACCCCTCCCTCACACCCGGAGAGGGTAAACTGTGTTATACCTATAGCAACGATTTTACCACCCTTGTGCGTTATGTATTTCTCAAGTTGACTCAAAATGGTCCAGTATAAAATATGGCCTGCCAAACTTACGGCCAAAATCAGGTCCAAATCAAAGCGGGATGACAATAGCAGATGTTGTGAAATCGATACTGTATCAGCAGAAACCATACAGATGGCAAGGAAAATGCCGTGTTTTGATGTTTAGATGTGTAAAGAAAACAATAAGGAAAGAAGTCCGGAAAAGGGAGGCAAAGATCATTTCTCGCTGCCTCAATGTTGAGGGGGCGCCGCCCCCTCGGCTCCCAAGTTGGTGGGGGGGGGGGGGGCAAGCGCCCCTGCTGCCCCCCTGTTCCCGGGTCTATGCACCACTGTACCACACCACAACAAACCCGGCCCAATGCATTACATGTCCCATTTGAGCGCGTTAACCCTCGCCGGCACAGACCATTTCGGCCATTTTGCGTCCTTCGACGGCACAAGGGGCGTCCCCCTCGCGTTTGGCCCATGATCGAGCTAGAGCTTCGCGGAAAAAAACGAGCTTGTTGCCCGTGACGAGAGGAAGCCGATGATACCCTCTGAGACCAATCAATCATAGGGGAGACAGCGCCCAGCCTGTGCCAGCCTCTAAGCAGGGCTCTGACGACCTTAACATTATCAGTCAATGACAAGTGCCTTTTTTTTATTCAGGCCTCGCTCCAACGGGCACTTATTTCGCATTTACAGGAGGGCTCCTCCTCCTCCTGGCCCTTGTTCCCCCACCCCCAGGCTACGGCTGAAGTGGGAGCCTACCCCACACCAGGTGACACAGCCGGGGACGACGCCCGCGGAACGGGCGGAACTGGGAATCGAACCCCAACCCGGCACCGCCCGCACCGCGGGTCGACGCCTCAACCGACTGCGCCACCAGGGCCGCAGTGTTAATAGACCATATTGATAAAAATTAGGTAGGGATATCAAACTACCAATGCCAAAATTTTGGTTAAAATCAAATGCATATACAACGAGAAATAGCCGAAAAGGACTGTTTCACAGGGTCTGAAACGCATAGTACGTGTCAGCCGCCTCTGGCAGCTTCGTAATATGTTACGAAGGCACCAAAACTACTTCGTAAATGTTAAAACGGTTGCTAAATTTGGATTCGGCTCCAAAAACTAGCCTAGAAACAAATATAATTCGAAAAAAGTACCGAGGTCATCATAGGTCAATGACCTGACCTAACTTTCAGGTGACCTTGACATCCACCCTAGTGCATGGGAGCAGCATCAACTCACAGAACGCTTGAAACCACGAGAAGACTGCAAACGCGCGGCTAATACGAGTCGGCATACGCCGAATCGCGATTCTGGCCAAACATGGTCTCGGAATGTTGGTCACAGGTCAAAGGTCATTTGGGTCAGGGTCATGAAATTTTTAGGGTAGGTGTAAAACTGATCAACGCGAGGGTATTGAAAGTTAGGTCGCGATCGGCCGTTTTTTACGCGAGTTATTCGCGAAAACCTTAGGGGGGTTGCATAATCCTCTCCCCCTGTGCCGGCGAGGGTTAAAACTTCTTGTGTGCGAATTCACGTTATGAAGAAGGCACAATCTACTACAGCAGCCAATAGATTACTTAGGACAGGCACATGGGACTACTTAAATCCTGTCCGACTCCGACAGAAGCAGGCAACAGTTCCGTTTGCATATGTAATATGTATATGCTATGCATATTGCGGAACGGGCACATTTCGGCCTCGAAAGATACGAATTCATACGTCATGGTAACATATTTTTGTCATGGTCAATTCGCGTAGAAATTGAACACCGGGTGATAACTAAGCTATTGTTCTATCAAAATTCTATAAAAAAAAAATCCGATTCAAACTCGCTCAGGGTTATCGTGCAGGTAAAGGGGCCCGCTCAGCAGAATGCGTATGAAATATGGAAAGATTCTGAAAAATGGGTGGGGGGCCCGCACACTAGGGGGTCCGCTTTGGAGGCGATGACCCCCTTCCCCGAAACGAAATCCTGGCTGCGCCACTGGTTGCGTATATCCCGCGCCCCGCTGGGCTATTCAGCCATACGCGCCCTGCTGGGGGGAGGAGGGGGGAGGCAGATTCTGCCCCCCGCGTCTAACTTCCGAACCGATGGTCGTAGAAAGAAGGGGAAGACGGCAATCGAAAGCTCTCAACAAGGTGGATCTTAAGAGCCCATTTTTTTTTGCTTAAGTAGGTCAGAGGTCAGGCAAGGTCAGGTCAAGGGTACAAAATGGAAGTTTCTACATACAGTATCGGCCTTGCACCGTAGTTATCGAAGAATGGACTGAGACTGATTGCCCAAAACGTGTTCTTAGGTTACCAAGACAATATTCGTCGCATACAATATCATGCAAAGGTTAAGGTCAAGGTCAGGTCAGGTCACCAAAAACGAAATATAGAAAAGGGGCATGTGCGACACATGTTTTATGGGTCATTTTATTCATAGAATTCAATAGACACACTCAATAAGTGATATGGACCACATCTGGATGAATTTCAGGTCAAGTTCAGGTCAAGTGAGGTGAAATTTTGAAGTTAGTTTTTTAGGCCTAACAAGGTGTCTATCTGATGCAGTTTTCACGGCGAATCGAATAGTGTTGTTTTTTCCGTACGAGCTCTAAAACTTCCAAAAAAAAATCATGTTACAAATTTTTGGAAGCGATTCTTCTAAAAATTGATATGTAGGTGTACATAGACCACTTCTCTGACATATATTCCGTTTTTTTTTTCCATACACTCAAAATTTTGGATTTTATTATTCTCCCAAAAAAGTCTTTTTAATTTGGGCCAAAATCCAAAATTAAAAAACTGAGATAGCCATTTGATAGACAAAGTAAAATCACGTATAACCTTTTTTGTTACGTCTTGATTCCTTTAAAAATGAAGATGTTAGCGGCATTTGAAATTTTGCCATTTTTGAGGCGAAAATGGCGAACATGACGTCACTAAAACGTCATTTTCTCAAAAAATTTCCGACGGATTTCGCTCAAATTTTCAGGGAACGTGTCAAATTGATCTACAATAAGGTACTAAAAGTTTGACGTCGCTGGCGTAACGCGTTTTGAAGTTATTGGCGAAAAATGGGAGGGGGCAGATTCTGCTCCCCCCCCCCCCCCCAGCGGGGCGCGGGATATCATTGTAGATAACACCAATATTTATAGGCATAACCTATCAACTTTTCTGGAAAATATTCCATAAATGCGGCAAAATATTAAGCATCAAAGTAACAATTAAACATAAATTATCGGTTACCCTCAGACTGATGAGCTGCGTTGTTCTGTCCCAGGAGTCCCGAGAGGGTCGTGTCACCAGCTGGCAAAACTTCAAGGCAGGCAAAACCTCCAAAAAGGCTAAATTGGGCAAGCCGCTCGGTTTCCGTCCACCCAAACTGAAGCCGGAGCAGCGGTAGTGTCGCGGAGCGATCTTCGGAGGCTGCGGCGGTAGTGGCGCGCAGCGACGCTCGGCGGCGGCGGCGGCGGCGGCGGCGCTCGGGCAGCCGGCCCGGCCGCCAGCTCGGACTGGTGGCTGCCCTCGGTGGGCCCGGCCCGGGCCGGGCCAGGCTGCGCTGACCGACGCAGCCGGTGGCCAGGGCCGCGCGCCAGCGACAGCGGAGCTGTGTCCTGTGGGCGCGCTCTGCGCCGTCTTCGGCCCGCACGCTCCGACACCCCGGTATTCTAGGCTCTTGGGCTTATAGAAACCAACCAAGGATGATTCATATTCCAAGACCAGGTAATGTCGCATTGGAGCGGTCTACAGCTTATCTGTCTGGGAAATCTCTGCTCGTGTTTCTCAATGTTGATGCTTGTGTCATTTCATCGAGTCGTGGTTCATCGAGTGATGCCAAATACACCCGTTGTGATGTTGTTTAGCTGTGAGGGACGTGCGGTGGCGAGGGACAGACAGTACAACATTTCAGTGGCGCAGCCAGGTGGTCGGCGCCGCCTGCTGCACCGAGCACAGAGTTTCAGCTCTCTATCGCCAGCGTGTTCGGAGCTATCGCGAAAAAAACCCTATGGGGGGGGGGGCGACACCCGTCCCCCCCCCCCCTCGGCCGGCGAGGGTTAAGAGACGTGTCGGTGGTGTTGAATGGCGTGCCGAGTGATCAAGAAGGGGCGACATTTTTCGGAAGGGGCACGTCATATACTCTGGATGGTGCGCGTATAATACTGACAGGGGCGATGACGGGAGCTGAAAGGGCGCCACAGGGATTTATGTTAAAGGGACCCTCCCACCTTAACATTAGATTTGAGTTGAGATAGCCAAATTGGTGGCCATGGCCTGAAAATACCGGTTTGGGCACTCACAACATCGAAAAATGCTTTAATTCGGAGATATCGAATTTCAAACTTGCAGTTTTCGGATTCTAAGGGGCTAATGCATTGGTATGCCCCCTTAGAATTTGTGACGTCAGCGGAGATCTAACGATTTTAAATCTTTTACTAAAACGTTTGGTAGCACGCGGTGGTATATGCTGCTTTGCGCGCAACAAATGCCGCACTTTCAAATAAAGTCGCTAGGAACAGCGGAGATCCCAAAAAGTAAACAAAAGTAAAAGTCTAATATCTTGAAAACCGGTGAATATTTTTCGATGAAATTTGGTAGATATTCGTTTTTGCTCTTTCTGAACCGAGCGACATCACTTTCATGCCAATCCATTAACTTTTTTGAAGGTGGGAGGGTCCCTTTAAGTATGCAATCCAATACCAGCTACTGTTGCGTTGGAGGTTTGTGTGGGGCGCCGGTGCATGGGTCGTGGGTATTGGTAGTGCTAAAGCGCGCCTTATAATAGTCTTTTCCATAATGGCGGCCTCAGTGGCGGCGGCCATTTGCATTAAACTGTAAAAAATAAAGTTTTTCTTTTCTTGTTTGCTTAACTCAACGTAAGTCAAAATTCCTTGCATAAATTTTGACATCTTAAAATTAATTCAAGAAAGATTGTAGGCCGCTTTTGCTGAAAAGTGAAGTACCAGAAAAACAAAGTTGTTCAATTATTTTCAATTAGTTATTGAGCTACATCGGTAGGTTCTTGGCGCAGCTGCGACATTGAAATGTTTTTAGATGTGTTCAGTTTTGAAACTGCTGTGTGCGAAACAAGCCAAAAAGCAATTATATTTTATGAATGCTTATGATTACGTTGCTAGCGATCTGTATATGTTGAGGAGATCAGGAAAGAGAACACTAATTAAAGAAAATAAATTATCCACAGGATCATGACAGGATCGTTCACTACAGAGGCTTTTTGATGTTGAGCGAAGTTGAAGAATTGTGGGGTGATGATGAAGTGGCAAATGCTGCCTTCAATGTTAGATGATAATGGTGAAGCTAGTGCTATTGTAGACATGGCCGTGAATGATTAACTGTGAAGCATAGTCAAAGTATATTCTGAACACCAAGACCAGTTCAAAACCAAAGTCAAGGTCCAAGTTCAAGTCCCCCAGCTCCAGTCTCAATGCCCCCGGCTCCAGAATGACCTTCAAACGACCTCTGGTCACCGAAGCAGAGGCGAAACCAATCAGCGGCTGCCCTGGCGTCACAGCGCCAGCCAATCAGCAGCCGCCATCACGCTGCGCACAACCAGTTGCGGCAAGCTCGGCATATAGCCCACGGCGCGTGACCTGCGGCCGCGGGCGCTGGCAGCGGCAGAGTCCTTTTTTTTTTTTTTTTTTTGCTCCGCCAGCCTAAAGCCAGTCTGGAGCCGGGGGTCCCTTGGAGCGGCAGTCAAGCGCCAACATGTAGCCGCCCGAGCAAAAGGCGGCGGAACAGGAAGAGCCCTCCTACACTATATTAAACAGTGTTTTGGATAATGTAATTGCATTGCAGTGAAATGGAGAGCAAGACAAGGTCAAGATCAATCACAGACTCCTCAAAACAAAGTCAAATTTGTTACTAATAAATGCTTTGGAATTTTTTTAGAAAGGTAGCTAAAGTATGTTTTCCAGCATACAGTGAGTTAAACATTAATTCATGTTTATGTCTTGCACATTGGCTTTCTTTGTAAGATAATTATCCTCATGGTATTGGAATTTGCTAACACTGATAAGTTGCCATTTAACATTGGTAGACTGATGTATTTGATATTACAGTTAATGTGTTTGCCCATTTGTTAGGACATCATGCATTTGGGAGAAATGTGTCATGATTGCCATTTTTTCTTCATCCAGTGTGGTTTAGCAAATCAAATTTGAGTTCAGAAGGTTTATCAAAAACGCTTTCAAACCTTTTATGGCAGTAGTTGATTTTCATAATACCGACAAAATACCAAATGCTTTGGTATATAATACCGAATACCGAATCGGTATTGGTTCGGTATCGGTATACCGAATTTTTGGTAACCGATTGACACCACTAGTCACAAGTTTGAAGTGTCAAGTGACGTCCGTACAGAAACTGCTTCAGCCTTTCGAATGCCCAAACGATGCAGAGTCCTTCCCTTTCAATTTGCGAGTATTTCTTCTCATGTTCGCTGAGTGACCTCGACACATACAGCACAGGTCTTTCGGGTACGCCCTGCACCAAGACCATGTGGACTGGCATCGGTGATGACAGTCACCTCTTCCTTCACGTCAAAGTGTCGGAGCACTTCAGCAGATGCCAGGCGGGCTTTGATTCTCGTGAAACTTTCTTCACATTCTTTTGACCACTTCCATTCTTTGTCCTTCTTCAGGAGTTCATTTAGTGGTTTCGCCATCTTCGACAGATTTTCCAAAAACTTGCTGTAAAACCGAAAACGTTACAGCTCCCAAGAACTCACGCAGTTCTCTTTGATTTGTTGGCGCGTTTGCCTCCAGCACTGGCTTCACTCGCTCGGAATTAGGACAGATTCCTTTTTCACCTAGTCGCACTCCTAGATAGCGGACCTCCTTCGCCATGAACTGACACTTTTCCTTCTTGAGGCGCAGGCCGTTTGCTTTCAGGATCTGCAGCACTTCATCCAAGGCCCTCTAACCACTTCATCCAGCCGCTTCAAGGCTTCTTCTGTTTTTCCTGTGATGAGGATGTCATCCAGTAGACATTTGACACCTGGTACTTTCTTCAAGATTCGGTCCATCGCTCTTTGAAATAGCATTGGAGCTGACGCGACTCCATAGGGGAGCCTCAGCATCCGTTTCAGTCCGAACGGCGTGTTCAGGTAGCACAGTTCCTGACTTTCTTTTGACAGCTTCATTTGCAGATAGGCCTGTGACAGATCCACCACAGATATGAATTTCGCAGGTACGATGGTTGCCAGCAGGTCTTCGGTCTTCGGCAGAGGATGCACCGGTACATTCAGGTACTGGTTCAGCGTCACTTTGAAGTCGCCACAGAGGCGTACGCTTCCATCTGGTTTGAGCACCACAGCCAATGGTGTTGCCCACTTTGGCGTTGGCTCATCATCTTTGAGATCTGCGATTACTCCCAGTTCCTTCCATCTTTCCCGTTCCTTCTCCACTGCATCAGTCAGACTGTAAGGTACTGACGGTACTGACCTTGGTGGTTTGAAGACGTGCTCTGCGTCTTTCTTCACTTCCAGATCAGCTTCCTGACCACTCATGGTTCCCAGATCGTCAATGAAGAGCTCTTTATGTTCCTTCAGCACTTCACTCAGCTTCTTCAGCTTCTTTTGTGGTTCAGGTTTTTCTTTCACTTGACCAACCAGACTTGACCAGTTCAGCTTGATTTGATGCAGCCAGTTTCTTCCGAGGAGGCATGGTCCCTTTCCTCCCACTACATATACTGGCAGTTTCTTCTTCATTTGGCTTTCATACTGCACGTTCACTTCTGTCACTCCTCTGACAGGTATTTCATGTCCTGTGTACGATGTGAGCTGACATCTGGTTTTCTTCAAGTTGAGGCCTTTAGCCTGCGCTTCCGGAATCATGGTTATCGGACAGCTTGTTTCACAATGAACGTCATGTATTTCTCGTTGATGGTCATGTTCAATTTGATGGCTTCCTTCCTTTTTGGCGTGCTTTGGTACACACATATATTTCTTCAACTTCATCATCATCATCTTCTTTTCCACATTCAGTGCTTTTCCATTTCTGCATGCTGCGTTAAGATGCCCTTGTTTTCCACAGTTGTGGCATCTGACGTAGGGTGATACCCTGCAGAACTTGATGAGGTGGTTCGTTTTCCCACACCTGAAGCACTGTCTCCTTTCAGTTTTCTCCAACTTCCACTTCGTGTTTTCTTCATCGTTTTCATTTTCCATGTCTTCCCTTGACCATGCTCTTTTTTCCATGGCCTCTTCCTTCATGAGTTTTTATTTCATTTGCATTCCATGGTTTCCTTGTTTCGTTCAGTGATTCATTTCTTCCTTTGTTTTGCCACGTCATCTTGTTCACTGCTTCTTCTTCTGTACTTCTTCCCATTCTTCTTACTTGTTCATTGACTGTTGCATCTGTTAACCGTATCAGAATGGCACGCGACAGGGTCAGCACTCTTTCCTTGGTCATTGACTCCTTGACCTTGGAGGATGGTCGGTCACGTTGCCAACAGTTTTTCCCTGGTCAGATTGTCCATTTCTGACGCTTCAAAATTGCATTTTCTTGCTTGAGTTTTCAGTTTCGCTACGTACTCTACTCTACCTCCTTCATATTGCATCATGTTGAAGACATGATGCATCACATGATGCATCATGTTGAAGACATGACGCTCCACCACCTTGTTCACTTGAGGCTTGAAATGTCTTTTCAGTTGTGCTCTCAGTTTGACGAATGGGTCGGTTACATCAGCTATATCAGGCAGTGTATTAACAATTTCTTGTACATCCGGTCCAAGAAGATGCAGCACGATGTTCACTTTTTGAGCAGATGATTCGATATTTTGAGCACCCATGTAAATTTCCACTGATTTGATCCATTTACCAAAATCCTCACCTTTT